ACACACACACACACACACACACACACACACACACACACACACACACAGCGCCCAAGGCTCAGGGAATACTGAAGAAGAGAAGACAGAAAGATTGCAAGAGACAGGAATGGATGAAGACTGTTGAAAAATAATGTCTTCTGGGTCTGAAGGACCTTTGCATTTCTGAACTGGAAGCAAAAGAACTTTGTAAGATCAAGCTAGTCAGCACTCCATCATAGAGAGGGAAGAGGTTCATGAAGCTCCACCCCTAGCTGAGGAGCTATTGGCAACTGATAGCCACTTGGGAGAGAGAGAGTACATCTTTTCTTCATTGGTGGGGCCTGAGGTAGGCTGCCCATGCTCCAGTGGGCGGCACCCTAAAACCACGTGTATATGGGAAGCACTAACTAAATTCACTGGGTTATAAAGTTGGCAGAGAGGAAGAAGAGAGAAAAAATTACACTGACAATGACATGAAGTTGGAATAGGAATTGGGGGTAAAGGGCGAGTATGTGGGGGTAGCAGGGTGGGGTGAGGTGGATGTAATATGAACACACTGTAACTGTATAAGAAACTGCCTACGCATAAATTTTAAAACTTAGCAACAGCCAAGAAAATAACAAAGCTGAAAAGAGCAATGGGATAGGTGAGATGAGGTCCCAGAGGTAATTAGCAGAATTGTGGCAATTGGAAAGTCATCCATGACCCCCCCCCCATACACCCTACAATTACTGGAGCTTATGAATGTTACTTGCTATAGCAAAGATGTCTTTGCAAATGAGATTAAGAATTTTTAAAAGAAGGACATTATCTTGGATCAATTTGGTGAGCCCTAGATGCAATCATGTATTTCTCTGTAAGAGGAGCAACACAGATACACCAGAGGTAATGGGTATACAGAGGAAGGATTACACAATGAGATCACAAACGAAGGAAGGATGGTAGCAGTCGCCCAAAATTAGAAGGAACTAAGAGTAGATTATCCCTGGAGCCTCCCAGGAGTGCAGCTATGCTGACTCTTCCATTGGGCTCAGTGATAAAGATTTCAAAATTGTATTGTCCAGACCAAAAATTTCTTTATTAAGCCATGATCTGTTAAAACAGTAACAGCAATTTGTTAAACATCTGCAGGAAACTAACAGAAAGCCATGGAGTGAGAGAGTTACTGGTGAAGGGTCAATAAAGAGAAAGTAATGTTCCAGGACAAAGTTTATAAAAATCAGACACAGGACAGTTGTTGACTGCAGATAACAGAAAACTCAACCCCATGATGCTACACTGGAGATGCTACACTGCTTCCAGATTAAGTGATAATATCAGGAAAGCATAGGACCAGCAATTATAAAGGTTTCAAATTCAGGCAATTCAGCATATTATTATCAGTAAATTAACTCAGGAGCATAAGCATATTTAAAGATAGTTATTGAATAGATGGTTATATATGTTGAATTATATAAATGGTTATATATGCTTTTATGTTTAATCACTGCACCTGTGTTTATGAAGTAGATGGCAGTGTTCCCATTTGACAGATTAAAAACAAAGACAGAATTACTGCCCTTGGGTGAGCAAGATGGCTCAGTGGGAAAAGTGCCTGCCACCAAGCCTGACAACCTGAGAGCTATCCCTGAACCCCACATGCTAGGAGGAGAGAAAGGATTCCTATATGTTGTCCTCTGACCCACATATGCACACATGCGCACACACACACACCACACACACATCTAATTTTTATAAAGAATTGTCTTTTTCCTGAAACAGAAATAGGAGCGGGCTATTAGCAATGATAAATTAGAAGCTGAAGCTGAAGGCCCAGACAGTAGCTTAAAGTCAGAAGTTAAAGCTGTAAGAATAGAGGGTGCTCCTCAGCAAATAAGATGGAGCGATACACCTCAAGGACTCCTCCGATGCTGTCATTCTCCATGGCTGTGTCAGGAAGAGTTACAACAGTGCTCAAGGCACTGATAGCAGGGTGACACTGTGCACAGGGCAAAGCACACATGTGGATAAAGCAGCAGCTAAAATCTGAGCAGTCAGCAACAGAAGACATGTAGGGAAAGCCCAGACTTACTGTGGGATCCTGAGTCTCCCTGAGTTTGTGTGTAAGTGACAGCAATTTCTCCAAAGCTTCCTGTGGTACATTTGGAACCTATTTTATGGGGAAAGTAAAAAAAAAAAAAAAAAAGAAAAGAAAAAACAGGAAGATATGAGGACAATTCAGCAAATAATATTAGAAGAATGTTTTTAGATAGTCTCTGAGTATTGGGTCCATGTTGAGGTCATAAATGAAGTTGCCACTTCATTTTTTCAGCAAACACCTGAGACCCAGCATTCTATTAAACAGGCAGGCGAATAAAACCAAGCTGACTTCTCTGCCTGCAATGGGATCACAGACAAGAAACTGGCATCTAGCAGAGCCGTGAGCACCAGTCCCTGCTTTGTGAGCTTCAACACGATTCTTTAGACCCAAGTTAGGCATTTTCTTACTGAAGCCAAACGTGTACAGCAGAATACCAGTTTATACAAGTTATTTAATTATTGCTGTAATTTCATGCATATATATGCATACATCCAACTACTAAGTGGCCTAAAAAATTCCTGTGTGCAAAATGGATGTTCAAGTTGTTTACCTTTCTCAAACACTTTTGAAACATATACTTGTTAGATATCGTGTCTCATGACTTGGGAAACTGAGGCCAGAGGATTGCCAAGAGTTCAAGTCCAGTATAGTCTACAAAGTAAGAATCTGTCTCCATACAAAACTAAATATAAAACATCTGATGGCCATGATCAGCTCAATGAACTCTGAAGAGTATTTGCACAAATAACACACATTTCTTTTAATTATACTAAACTTTAATGCAAATAAATAAGTTTAATAAATGCGAATGCTTTCTTTTAAAAAATTACTTAAAGTAATAATTAATATTTTTAATTTTAAAAGAAAAATATTACTAGCAGGATGTAAGCAGTTTTAAACTGTACTGGTTCCATTTAAGTAATGGATTTACCCATTTAAGTAACTGGATTTTTAAAATTTCTAATTCTATTTTATACATACCTTACACTGTTTACTTTAAAAATAAACTTTGCAGTGTAGGAAGTGAAATTATTCTTATTTTCAAATGAAGAAACCATGACTAATCTACTTGAGCTCTGGAAGCTAATATACAGTGAGAATTTGACAATTAGAAGTAAGGTATGGAAACTCAAATGCTCTAACTTCATTCATAACTGAGCTTGCATAGACCTTCAAACCAAACCATAATTCTAGTATTTCAAGCAATGGTTTCAGTTATGTAAAATGTTACTTAGTAGTGATACAGAATAGCACAGACCTTTCTAGAACAATGGAATAATAATAATAATAATAATAATAATAATATTTGCCACCTAACACATTAGCCAAATGAGTTGCAAATAACTGCTGAACACTGGAAGTATGCTGAGAAACTGAACTTTGAAGTGATTTATTTTGCACGGGCAGTGCTACCGCAATGAAGAGTGTACTTCCAGAGCTCCCTAAGGGCTAAACCAAATGGCTAAGGCAGACATTGAAATCATGGCTGTCACAAAAATTACAGAGCCCCAGTGACCACTCAGGATTACAGTCCTCTCAGGATTACAGTCCTCACAGGATTACAGTCCTCAGGGATCTGGGTAGCTCCAAACGAGAACAGTAATGGACACCAGCCTAGAACAGGCCTCACTCTCACCATTTCCTTTATCACTTGCATTTCTTCACTTTTCACAAGTGGCTTCATGTGATGGAAAAAGAACATGGTTAAGAATTCTGGCCCCAGCCACTGCTGTGTTGTGCTTCCGACAACTGGAGGCTCTGCCAAAGCGATGATTCTGAAGGAAGGGTGGATAGGAAAAATGGATCTAAAGAAGAGAGGGAGAAAAACAAAACATAAACATTCACAATAAAAACTGTCATGAGATGTGGAGCTTAGCAATAAAACTGTCATTCCATTAATAATGGCAAAGTTATTATCCAAAGAATGGACTGAAATTAAGAGTAAGAGAATGAAATAATTAGTGATAAATGTACAACATGCCCTTGTGAAACCCTAGGTCTCCCAGTCATGGCTTTGATATGTTCTCATTGCTGTAATGCATTAGCTCCAAAATCCCTTGAAATGAAACCACACCAAGTTTATATTCATTATGTAGATATTCCTTGTTTTTGTGGTCACTTAAAGCCTTCTCAGAATCTCCTGCTTTTCAAGGAGCCCACTCTGTGTGAATCATAGAGAAACTAAAAAGCATCATTTGGATGGAGAAACTTTCAAAAATATAGACAACTTAAGTAAGGCATATGAGGTCATATTAAATTTATTCTTATATCAGCAAGAGAATATTTAGTAATTGGTGAAGAAAGTTGAAGGCATACACTAACTTCTCTTTCATCTTTGCTATAAACACGTTATCTGCATTTTTAGAACTGGATTGAAAGGCAAAGGTACTGTTAGATCTACATTAGGGTTCAGCCATCCACATTCAACAGCACCAGAGGCTGCACTGCCACTCCTTGGGGGGCTCTGCTCCCCGCACTGGTAGACGCTGTTCTCAGAACAGATTTATCTATTGGTGCATTGCTCTAGGAGCTAGATGGCTCCTCTACTGGCTATCACCTCTACCCTCCCTCCAAAATACTTCCTATTAAAAAAGAAAAACCCTCCTCACTGATTCTGTGATAGTTTTCTCTTTAAAAAAAAAAAATCTCCCAGAAGGAAGTAAGGTATAAATAAAACAAAAGCTGAGTTTGTTTAAATGCTACAAAAATAAAGCTTTTTTTGTAGCATGACTGTAAAATGACTGCCAGTCATCTAATTTCAGTCAGGTTGTTTGGACCATGAACTTGTACTTTACATGCCAATAATGCCCAGAGTGGCATGGTAGATGTGAACAACATGAAGGATCAATTCATGCTAGATACTGAGTCATAGTTATTCACAAGCACAACTCATGAAACAACTGAATTTCCTCACTCAGTACAAATTTCTGGCTTTTTATACTCTGATGTCCTTTGAGTCAGACTGTTGACAATAAACACAGAAACATGCTGTTACTCAAGAAGCACAGCCCTGGAAGAAATACTGCCAACTGACTTCGACGAACCTAGCTCATCCTAACTGTGAAAGACAGGAATGAGTTGCCACAGTAAATGAAGGAGAACTAGGAAAAGGCACAGAACTTTACCACACTATAGTGTGCAGCATGGTCGGTAATGTTAACAGTACCAACAAGTCTGCTTTAATCAGAAGAAAAAAAATACTGCTGCTGGGTACAAAGGAGGGATAAGAAAAAACAAGGGGAAAAATTAGACTTTCAATATGCAGACATGTCAGGGCCAACCCCATCCCCAAATGCCTGTGCTGGTGACATTGTCCTAAACAGAAAGGCTTAAACAGGATTGCTGCTGGGTAAACAAGTCTAAATGTTTATGCTTACTGGAAAAGCAGGTCACTCTGGAGATAAAAAGGCTATCATCTCATCTATTAAGTATGCCTGATTTTACCCAAACTTTACATGGTTTTAGTTACTTATTTCAGGCTCAACCTTGTCAGCACATACAGAAGACTAAAGCTTGTCCCTGTAAACAATTACATTTGTACTTAGAATGACTACAAGCATAGTTCTGAGAACATTAAAGACTTCGATCATTTACCATTACAAATGGTGACTGACCATTAACTTGCATGTCTTTATTTTTAACAGTTTATAGCAAGTTAGTAGCTTTTATCAGAATACAATTTTACAGTTTTATCCCTGCAAAAGTTGAGCCCTAAAATTTAAACTGAAGGGGGCTGGAGAGGTGGCTCAGTGATCACCAGCACTGGCTACTCTACCAGAGGACTAAGGTTCAATTTCCAGCACCTATATGGCAGCTCACACCTGTAACTCAGCCTGCAGAGCTTCGGACACCCTCACAGACATGCATGCAGGCAAAACACCAACAAACATAAAATAAAATAAGTTATAAAAAATTGAATTGAAGATCCTTTAGCATCAAAATAAAACTTTAAACCATAAATAAAGTCCACAGAGAGACTGGGAGCATTACTTTCCTACCTTTTCACACTGTACTTCTATAGACTATCACAGCTTCATGTATGACTCAGCTTATCAGACTAAGGCTAGTGAAGACAAACAGGCTAGACACATCTTCAAGTCAGTTTTTGCTAGCCTGAATAGACCCTTTGCAGCCACAAGAATTTATAACTATAATATAACATTTGCTGTTAGTAAGTCCTATTTTTCATAAACAAGAATTAAATCCAAATTCCTCTGGACCTAACAAATAGGTTTTTTTGTTTGTTTTTTTGTTTTGTTTTGTTTTGTTTTGTTTTTTAAACTGGGCAGGTTTTATTTTTCTTTACAATTTAATAACTATTTCTTGATGGCTGCATATGGGGTAAGGCTGCTTGGTGGTTCAGAAAGATCACAGCGGTGGTGTTTGCCTGGTGTGTAGTCTTTGGTAGTGGTTGGAGTGACTTGGATGATGTCGCTGTCAAACCAGCACAACTGCATTTATGCACCCATCGTTTTCAGGATTGGTGGTAACTAGGGCATATTTTCCCCAAATAACCTTGCCTCTTTGTGTCACAAGGCCCAACTAGCTCACATTCACTTCAATAACTATACCTTGGGTGATTACACCCAGAGTTGTATATAATGGGGATAATGGATTCTTTTTCACACCAAGTACTGGCAGGCATAAAGTAGCTTTCAGCTCAGGATGTGTGATGTGAGTTTTTTTGAAACGCACGCCCATTGGTCTGGTGAACCTTTCATATTCAGGTGGTTTTCTTGTAAAACCATCACCAACAAAGCAGACTTTAGTAACCATCCTCCTCCATGCCTTCTTTTTTCTCTTTCCTGTTCGAATAACTTTCAATACTTCTGTTTCTCCTTGGGCACGGACTTTGGGTAGAAGGACTTCTCATTTTCCCGATTTCTCTATCCGTTTCTCGTTAATCCTGCTGGAAAGCACTTTTGCTGTCCCTCTCTGTCAAGCAGGTAGGCAGGTACTGCTCCCTGCAGAGTCTTCTCATCATTCTTCTGTTTGTTGTTTCTCTTTTCATGCATCTTGATAGGCTTTTTCATTTGTATTTTTTCGGCATGGCGCTGTTTATGGTAGAGCTTAGCCTTCAGGCCAATCTATTTTTTTTTTTTTTTTTTTTTTTTTTGTCTTCTTTGACCATTCATGGGCCTCCCGGCTTTCTTTCTTTCTCTTTTTCTCATGGTAATCCAATGATAGCCATATCGTTTACGGTGTAATTCAATATATTCATTTTGTGGCATGATGACTACCGTGGGGCAGCTGTCCTCGACCTTCCGGGTGCTGAAAACCTCTTCACTTCAGAGTCTCACTGGCCCACGGGCCTAGTTCGCCCAGGCCAGAACGGGGAAGGTGACAAGAAGTATTTTAATGATGCATTTTATTTTATTTTTTTAGCTATGTGTATGTATGTTTTTAAGTGTGGGCTTGTACACTTTAGTACAGTGTCCTCCCTGGCCAAACGAGGATGTCAGATCCCCTAGAACTGGAGTGATAGGTGGTTGTGAGCCAGTCAACTCAAGCCCTCAGCAGTACACGCTCCTCTCTGCCGAGCCATCCTTCCAGCCCCTCAGCAGTAGAAGGATTTTTAAAAAGATCATTGTTAGAATATCTTGCTTCTGAAAATTTAATGATAAAACAAATGGATGACAGAGCATAAAAGAGAAAAGAAAAAATTAGTTCTTGCCAGGACGTTCAACCTACATCTAAATAATGAAAAGTATAGAGAAGGGAGAGCACGGGAAACTAGTGAGATTAAGGTCTATGGGGGCTCCATAGGTACAAGCTGAAATGAGTCCAGAATGTACCACGTAAGGAATATGAAACTGATTGACAGAACATGGAATCATGAATTAGGGTGTGCCCAAGGAGAGGAAATTTCACCAAGAGAGAAGTTCCTGGGGGAAGAAAGTGATGTATATATGGAAAAGAGAGCCCCTTACCCCTCAGTGTTTTCACATCATTATTGTACAGATTTCCACTCCGATGTTTCACCACACTGTCTTTACTTACAGTTCTTTCTTTTTTTAAGTTAAAAATTCCTTATTTTTTTTCCTGGTACCACTACCACAATTTATAGGACAAAACGCTGATGTAATGAAAAGAAAAAGCTACACCAGATAAAAGACCTCAGGAATGTACATCTGATTGACACTACACTGCATTAATCATAGCTGTACTTGTTGCAAACTGTGGCTATGACAGTCCTGAACAAGAAGGGTTTCCTTTTTAAACTACAGTAAGTTTTCTACCTACAGATCATTCCTCCTGTGGCAGATTTTTACAGTTCATCTAACGTATCTGGGTTGACGGTCTCAAAGCAACTTGTACTTTCCTGACAACTCCTCACTCTCTTTTCTGTTAGAACTGTAGCCTTTTCTGCTGTTTTTTAAAAACTTTCTGCTACCATACTACCACTTCCCCCACCAGATCCATAGCCACCACCATAGGGACTGCCTGAGCTTTGTCCACCAACACTGCCTCCCTTCGTGGAGCCATAATTTCATTGCCATTGTTCACTATAAACTCCAAAGTCATCATGGTTCCCACCACCACCATAGTTACATCTACCAAAATTTCCTCCTTCACTGTAACCATCATATCCTCCTCCTTTCCACCATACCCACCACCTGGTTTCCATATCCTGGTCCACCACCACCATAGTTGCCCCCGTCACCTCTAAATCCATTATATCCACCATTACCACCTCCTCTTCCACCAAAGTCTCCACCATGACCAAAGTTACCTCCACCACCTCCAAGGTTTCCACCATGACCACAGAGTTGCCAGACCCACCTCCATGACCTCTCTGTGATCCAGCAGACTGCATCTCTTGCTTAGAAAGTGCCCTTTTCACTTCACAATTATGAATTATGCCCACTAATACTGTGGTATTTCTTTTTTTAATTTCTATTTCCTATTTATTATTATTATTTATTATAATTTAGTCACTTTGTGTCCTGGCTTTAATGCCTTCCTCATCTCCTTCTGGTTCCACCCTCCCCAACTCTCTCCCCCGTATGTCCCTTCCCTGATAGGGGAGGTCTTTCTCCCCTACTATCTGACCCTAGCCTATCAGGTCTCATCAAGAATATCTGGATCCTCTTTATCTGTGGCCTCGTAAGGCTACCTCACCAGGAGGAGGTGATCAAAGAGCCGGCAACCAAGTTCATGCCTGGGACTGCCCCCTGCTCCCCTTACTAGGGAATCCACATGGAGACTCAGTTGCCCATGGGCTACATCTGAGCAGGGGGTCTAGGGCCTCTTCATGCATGGTCCTTAGTAGATGCATCAGTCTCTGCAGGCCTAGTGTGGTATTTCTGAACAACAATTTTATCAACGATGTCATGATCATCAAAAATTACACGACTGTCTACTCTGCCTGTCTTCCGTAACTTCTATGATTTCAATCTTGCCACACTTTTCAAAGTAGTCTCTCAGATTATATTTTTCTCATCTTCTTTGATACCACCAACGAAAATTTTCTTCATTGTTAAACGGGCACCAGGCTTCACAGAATCTTCTCTACACACGGCTTTCTTTGGTTCCACCACATGCCCATCCACTTTGTGTGGCCGAGCACACATTGCAGGTCTAACTCTTCTCCACAAGAGTAGGTCACAAACCAAAGCCCCTGGGAACATTTTGTTTGGGGATCTCTCATTACCTCAGATTTCTCAAAATGTTCTCTTAAGCTATAATCTGTGGTTGCTCAGACCATCAATAAACAGCTTCCTTGGCAGTTCTGGTTCCTTTGGATCATGGCCTTCCATTTTGAAGCTGAATTTGCCTCTTCCAACTCAAGTTCAATATCTCTCTCTTTCATATGAAGGCAATTACTAGCATTAGGGAAAACAAGATGGGTGTATGAGAGAAATCTATTTTAATATATTGAATAACTCAGCTGTAGTCTCTACACAGTCCTGACAAAATTAAAGTTCAAGAAAATTCCCAACAAATATAATAACAACAAAAGAATAAGGTAAGGTAAGGAAATAAGTATATGCAATGAGAAGCGAAGTAGACAAAGTCCAGCTTTCTCATTTTATGTACAGGATTGAAAGGCAATTCTTAATACTGACAAGTCAAGGACCATCTATGAAGCTGCCTGGTGATATGAGGCAAACATCAGAAAAGCCTGCTAGGTATTAAAAGTAAAAAGCTATTGGAATGGGAAGTGGGACATGAGGGGCAGTCAGAGAATTTATGACAGGGGAGTAGTGTTTTTCATATAATGCTTTGAAATTTCTAACTGGCTCAAGGCTCATGTATGTTTGACCTTAGGAAATAGTGAAGTTTTTTGTTTTTTTTTTTAAGTCTGTGAGGGAAAGTAAGTACCAACACGACCTCTCCACTTTCTCAGCATGACGTTGGGAAACAGATGATTGTGGGAGAGACAAACTGATGAGGTTACAGTGGAAACCTTTGAGAAGGAAGTGCTAATGACAACTGTGGGCCAAACCCTCAATACGAAGCTGAAGGTCACTCTGTTCCTCAGAGTGTTTTTATTTGCAAAACTTTGTATGACTATTAGAGAGAACATAGGTACTTTCCACAAAAAAAAAAAAAAAAAAGAGTTGTCATTTCCTGGATATTTGGCAGAAATACAGGGCTCCCAACATCCTAAGGGAAACTTCCAGGCAGGCAAGCCCCAGAGCTCTTGCTCAATTGCTTTAATTCTGAAAATCTGAAAATCTGTATTCTTCCAAGGCCATGATTCACATGCAAGCAACGTACAAACTGTACATAAAGGGATGGAAAGAGGGTTCTCCCTGGCTTAGTGAAGGAAACACTAAATTGTGACAATTCACTCCTTCACAAATCTCACTTTGATAGGCACACCTCAGGAAGCACTTCTGAAATCCACTGTAACTTTTCAACAGTCTAGGCAACAAAAGTTAACACTTCCTTCCCAAGACAAAAAGAAAAGGTCACTCAATAATTCATATACTTCACTGATTTTAGAGGCCTTTCTTGTTTTCAGCATGGGGAAGGCGAAGCTTTGGCTGCACCAGTCAGATTAAGAAAGGAAAAAGTCATCATTGTTGTAGCGGCTTTCCCCTACCCACAAGGTCCCAATCTCCAGAAATGTGAAGACCGGACAGAAGGTACTGACATGAGGATATCAAGGAAGCCTAGTCTAAGGAAAACAGTGACGTGCAGCTGAAAAGTATGTTTCTTCAAATGTAAAGGCCTATATGTAAACACGTGCACTCTTCATTCAGATTTCTCCCAGTGTTGAGATTCTGTCAGATTACATTCTTGCTCACAGTGGCTCTTCTCTTCCTCTGGTGCTTTTTTCACTGACACATTCACAAGCTTATCTCTCCCTTCCATCTCAATAAACGGTGCCTGCAAACACACGGTTTCCTTTCATAGTCATAACACCATCATGCTACTTAAGAAAAGTAATATTGATTCGATAGCAGGGACTTTTTAGTATTTTGTTGCATTTTCTGAGACAACGTCTTGCTGTGTAGGCCTGACTGTATGGAATTGACTATGAAATATAAGGTTGATCTCCAGCGCAGAGAGCTCATCTCCACTTGCCTCCCTGGCACATCCACACCAGGCTTTTACCTTTATGTTTGAGCCAGAGTCTCTAACTGAACTGAAACTTACCGACTTGCCTCTGCCAGTTAGCCAGTCAGCCTCAGAGATCTGCCGGTCTCAGTTCTCAAATTTCCCCTTCATGCCGGGGTTGCAGTCACTACGAACACAATACCTGGCATTTTTATGTGGGTTTGGGGGGTCCAAACTTAGGACTGCCAGCCTGTGCAGCTGGATCTTTACCAATGGAGCCATTTCCCCACCCTGACCTTTCCTATTTGCCTTTTGTAAATGATTTTGCTTTGTTTCCTGCTCCACAAATCTCACACATTGCATTTGACTGTTTTATCTACAAAAAGACCTATGAAGAAGCCAGAGATATCAGGGCTGCCTCAGGGACACTTACAGTTTTGCTCATGACTTCCTAGTAAGGTTGGTTTATCTTCTTAAAAGTACAGTCGAGACAACTATTTGAAAGCAGGCTAAGATTATAGAGTACAGCTAGGACAAAATCTCAGGTTTTAGGAAATGTCAGGTTATTCCATGCTCAGGACACCAAACTAAGCTATTCAGTTATTGTTTTGCTTGACTCTAGTTCAGCTAAAAATAAGGAATGTTAGATTACTTTCAACTTAGCAGAATGATAATGGTAAGAATAATGTACTCAAGGGCCAGCCAGATGGCTACAAGGATAAAAGCACTTGCTGCCAAGCCTGGGATATGAGTTTGATTCCCAAGACCCAAGTAGAGGAAGAAGAGAGCTGACTCCCACAAGTTGTCCTCTGACTTCTGTATGTGAGCTTTTGTGTGTTTACCCACATACCCATGCACACACAATAAAACAAACAAACAAACAAACAAACAAAAAAAACTGACAGTAATGTACTACAAATTACCTGTCCTGTAGCTGCTCATCAGTTAGTTGTAGCCCCTCCTTCAGGCACAGGTACCTGTCTTCCCTCAGCAGCCGAGACCCATCATACAGGCTGAGCTCCCGGTCATGGATTAGTCTGATGGGAAAGAGAAGTGGGGAAAAAAATTAATCAATGACATTATGAGAGGCAGAATTGCTCAGTCAATATTTAACCATGCCTATCATCGCTAGTGGGTGGGCCCAACAGTTTTTAGGTGCTTTTCATAACTATAACTTGGTCAGTGGCATAATGTTATCCCTGGCAGACATGTTGGACTTTGTCTGCAGAGTGGTCCCAAAATGCCAGAGATGGGTATGAAGGAGAAGAGGCATGAAGAAGGGAAGGAGGAGGTTGGAGACAAAAAGAAATGCTGAATGAGTGTCTCAGGTCAACCACGGGGTACCCTCTCATGAGCAAGCTAGTCCGCATACACTCCTGAATCCACTGTAACTTTTTAAGGGAAAGTATTATAAAAATATGTCTACTGTTGTAATTTCAGGTTTTAAAATATCAAAATCCTCTAAAATAAATAACCCCATTGCCATTCCACATGGCAGCCCTGAAGTAACCTAGCTTCCCATACTACATAAGACACTACTGTTAGGTACTGCAAAGGTCTAAGATCAAAGACTAATTCAGAAGCTAGGGGCACAGGGATACAGTCTGGCAGACCTGGGTTCAATTCCAAAAATGCATTTACTTGCTGAATAGTCATTATGACATTATGAAAGGCAGAATTACTCAGTAAATATCCATGCCTATCATTGCTGGTGGGTGTATAAAATTAAGGCAAAAATACTTAAGACAACAATGCCAACTTCATAGAGTTGGTGTGAAAATTGAACAATTAATATGAAATAGAGGCTTAACATCATTGCTCTCAGTCTTGACTGTAAGGCAGGATCTCTAGGCAGCATTTTAAAATGTCCATGTTCAAGTCTCTGGCCTGGATCAATGACTTCAAGAAGTGGTAGGTCGGAAGCCAGGCATTGTATTTTTCTTATATACATTTCTTTTTATTATTATTATTCATTTTACATCCTTGTTGTAGCCCCAACCCTCCTCCCCTCCCAGTCCCAGCCATCAAAGAGCTGGCAAGTGATCAAAGAGCTGGCAAGTCAGTCCGTGTCTGATGTAGTCCCCACTTCCCTTACTAGAGGACCCATACAAAGCCTATGATGCCCATCTGCTATTGTATGGGGCGTAGGTCCAGTTCAGGCATGGTCCTTGGTTGATGCTTCAGTCTCAGCAAGCTACTCTGGGCCTTGGTTAGTTGGCTCTGTTGGTCATCTTATGGAGCTCCTGTCACCTGTAGGTCCTATCCTCTTTCTTCCCACCTTCCCACAAGATGCCCTATGCATCATCCAGTGTTTGGCAGTGAGTCTCCATATCTGTTTAGAGGTGCTGCTAGGTTGCACCTCTCAGAGGACAACTCTGTCAGGCTCCTATCTGCAAGTTCAGTGGAATATCGTTCATAGTGTAAGGGGTTGGCATTCTCTAATAGTGCAGGTCTTTGGTTGGGCCCCTCATTGACTGAGCATTCCTTCAATCTCTGCTGTATCTGCTCTATCTATATCCCTGCACATCTTGTAGGCAGGGTAAAGTTTTTGTGGGTGGGTTGGTGTTCTCCTCTCTCTGCTGGGGGTTAGTCTAGTTAGTTAGTGGGTGTCCTCTTCAGTCTTTATGGCTTCTGCTACTAGGATTCTCTTTGGAAATCAATCTGGCACTTTCTCAGAAAATTGAGAATAGCTTTACCTCAAGACCCAGCTATAACACTCCTGGGTATATATCCAAAAGATGCTCCACTGTACAACAAGGACACTTGCTCAACTATGTTCACAGAAGCTTTATTCACCCTAGCCAGAATCTGGAAACAAATGTCCCTCAATCAAAGAAACTGTGGTACATTTATACAATGAAATACTACTCAACTATTAAAAACAACGAAATCATGAAATTTGCAGGCCAGGAAGACAAACATGCTATGTACTCACTTATAAGTAGATATTAACCATACAGTACAAAATGAGCATACTATGAGGCACAGACCCAAAGGAAGATAAGTAACATAGAGGATCCAAGGGAGGATGCATAAATCTCCTTGGAAGGGGAGATAAACAGACAGAGGTAAGGGCTGAAGAGAGGGAACAAGGTAGGAGAGGGGGCACGGAGAGTTAAGAGGGTGGAGATCTATGGGCTACATCTGAGCCAGGATTTTAGGTCCTCTCAATGTATTTTGGTCCTTGATTGGGGTATCAGTCTTGGCAGGGCTCAGTTTTGTTGTTGTTTTCTTGTTTTTTTTTTTGGCTCTGTCTGTCTCCTTTTGGAGCACCTGCCCAAATCCAGGCTATCTCACCCGTCTTTCAAAAAAATTCCATGCCCTCTGTCCAAAGATTGGCTGTCTCAGCCTTTGCTCCCATACCTCAATCAGTAGAGCCTTTCAGAGGCTCTCTGATCACCTCCCCCTGGCGGGGAGCAGCCTTGCCAGGCCACAGAGGAAGACAATGCAATCAGTCCTGATGAGACCTGATAAGCTAGGGTCAGATAGAAGGGGAGGAGGTCCTCCCCTATCAGTGGACTAAGGAAGGGGCATAGGGGAAGAAAAGGGAGGAAGGGTGGGTTGGGAGGAGACAAGGAAAGGGGCCACAGCTGGATTAAAAATTGAATAAACTGTAATAAATGATAACAATTTAAAAACTGTTTTTTAAAAAGTTGTTTTTTTGTTTGTTTGTTTGTTTTTTTAAAGAGGGTGGAGATGAGAGCTGTGGAGAGAGGGCAAGAGGGCCTGTAGAGAAGAGAGAAAGTGAGGGTGGGGGTCTCTCTGACAAGGTGGAGACCTAAGTCAGGCAGGCTTGTATTTTAAAGCTGTCCTGCTGGGCGGCCTGCGGCTGGCAACTAGAGACTTAGCTGGCATGGTGCAGACATGCTGCCTCTGCTGCCACTGCTGCTCTTTTCCCTTGATCGGGTGTCTGAGAGGCAGCTGACAAGAGAGGGCTAAGGCTTTTCTTATTTTGTATCCACAAATGTGTTTGGCAGAAAAAATTAAATTGTAAGTCTATGAAATGTGGTAAATCACTAAAATTTGTGACTGCTATTTTTAAACCCACACAAACTGAAACAAGATTAATACAACACATTTGGAATCTTTCATTACACTCAGTATCTGCATCTTGTCAGGGATAAAAACTGTGGTTAGCTAGTTGAAATGGCTTATTTCATTTATTTGACGCTTCCCGTAAGTCAGATTTAAAAAGTCATGTAGCAGAGAAGGAATGAAAAGCATCAATAACCTTTTAAATGACACAGGCTATGAGTATTTTCCACAGAAATTATACATAGAGAAAATTCCAACATTAAATTCTAGAATTCTAGAGTTTTTGAAATGTGTGGATGACTTTTTCTCACCCAAGATAAGAAAATCATGGTTACAGAAATGCTCATATCTGTGCCGTGAGTGAAATAAACAAATAAATATACACTTTATATTTTATACATATTACACCATTCTTTTCTCTCTTAAAAAAAAAAAAAAAAGATGCCAACAAGCTCAGCCCCCAGTGTGGATCTGGGATGATTTCTAAACAGTAGAGTTAAGACAGAACTGCAGACACTCTGGCTGTGTGGCTTGTTGCTCATATTAATCTATGTATGTAAGCCTTTTAAAACCACTGCTGACAGGCCTTCATCTTTCTGCTCTTACATAGCAAATTCTGCCACAGAAATGGGGTTGGGAGCCTTTTAGTCATATGTTTATAACAACAAGTTAGTGATATTTTATTCAACTTGAATGTAGAATTGTAAGTTCCCCAGGATCAGCACAAGCCAGTGCTTAGGTTGGCATGGAGACAGTATGTGACACAAACCTTTGCAATACAGCCAGCGTACCAGCGTTGACCCGGTGGATGCCATCCAACAGGACCAGCTTGCCTTCCCGAGCAGCACTTACAAGGGGTGAGGATCGCCAGGCTGTGTCACCGTTGGGGAGAGTGTACCGCTGCTGGAGCAGGTCTCGTGCTGTCATATCCTAAAACCGGTCAACATACACCCAGCAAAGAGAATGTAGACTTAATGGTAAAGAATTATGTAATGCTTATTTAGCCTTATGACATTTTCTCTCCATACAGCATTTTTTTTGTACAGCGTATTTTTTTTCAAATCCAAAGGGAAATATGCCCAACACTACATATTCACATGCTATAAGGATGAGAGGGTTTCCCCTCTTCTCCTTTTATTTAGTACTCTCCTGCACCTTCAAATAGATGAGGCAGTAATTACCACCTGACTTTAATGGAATCAAACTCAATCACGGGACTCCTGGAGAGATCCCAATGTCAGTATTCTTTTGCACACTGAGAAGCCATACAAATGCCACACTCAGAGACTAATTTATCCTGAACATGCATTTCCCTTTGAAAAGCCCTCAGAGGGCCATTGCATTGACTTCTTGAATTTACAGAGGTTCAGTCATGAAGGAGGCCAGGTAAGGTGCAGGAACTGAAAAACAGCAGCATAGCACTTAACAAGCAAATTAAGAGCCCACATACCACACACCAGCACTGAAACAGTGCAGCAAACTCAAGCAAGCCAGTGAGAGCTATACTGTATAAAACTATAGTGAAACAATGTGGTGCCTTATTAGGAATAGAATTGCCTGATATGTGCTAATGTTGAAGAGAATGTCTTAGCAGTTTCAGAGGTATTTAGTGCCACTGTATCAAACAAAACTTAAACCATTACCATCACTTTTATTCAAACTTTTATACTCTTTGGTAAGTTCAATTGTAAACACTTAGTTTAAAGTAGAAAACTAATTATATTTACAACAACAACAATCTCACTAAAACCAAGATTAAGATGTGAGTCTTATATTTTTCAATGTTCTATCAAAATAGTACTGCCTTTAACACTTCATTACCTGGTCACAGGACATAGAGAAATCAAGCTGGAACTGGGCTGGAAACGTCATCCCTGAAACTAGCCCTCACATAGCTAGAAGGTGCTGCGAGGCTACTGGAGGAGAATTGTCACCAGCAGTCTTACTCAGCTGTAGATCCTGAATGCTACACTATTGACTACCAAGCAAGATGTAGACACTGGTGCAGTACTGGCAAGTCTGTTATGGGGAAAACAACTGCTTTATATCATCATCACCATTATCACCATCATCATCATCATCGGATTTGGGGCCTTTTACATACAAGGGAATTCACAACTGGTACTGTAAAGCCTGGGGAGGTCAAAGGCTATAGCAGGGAAACTACTTCCGTTGTTTGGTTTAGGGGAAAACATGATACGCCCATCAAACTGCCTCTTAAATAACTATGCTTATGCCCTGAGTAGTGAATCTATGAGCCTTGGTCACAGAGGCTTCTTTTTGCAGTGGCCAATAGTGACTGCAGACTCATAACTGGTTGAAGTGTTGAGAATAAGTGACTGTTGACTTCTCAGTCATAAACAGAACTCATTTAAGGCTCAAGGAACACTTCAGAAGGAAAATAGAAAAAAATGTTAGGGGTGGTGGGAAGAAAGAGATCTGGAATGCTAACTTCCGAGTATGACGCTGTTGTGATGACGACAATGTACAACATCTTTACAAAGTCTTCCCAAGAGCAGGCCCACCAGCATCTTGCTATAGGGGAAGGGCTCTCATGGAAGCCCGCCACTTCCCTGAAGATATATACCCTGGCCACGAGAAGCAGAAACTTTTTCTTCAGTCGTGTAGCCACTGTTAAAATGTCCATGCTCCTGGGAGAAACCATATTGAAATTCACTTGGGTCATTTCCCTAACTATCCCCACTCCCCAAAAAAGAGAGAGAGAAGCAGAAGTGAGTCTAGTCAGTAAGACAAAATCAATCAGCATAAGACAGAAGGGGACAAGAAAGGATAACAAGGACAGTGATCAAATGAATTATATACATACATGAAAATATCATAGTGAAACGCACTGTTACACATGATAATAAAATAAAAACATAAATAAAACTATTATAAGAAGGAAAATGACTTCAGAAACGTTAGTAGGCTTGGATTAAATGGTGAGGACTATTTCTATTTTGGACAGATGTATTTTATGTGTAGGAGTGTCTTGTCTGCATGTATGTATGTGCAGCACATGAATGGCTGATGTCTTCACATGTCAGAAGAAGACATCAGACCCTCTGGAAGTGGGATGATGCATAGCTCGTTATGTGGGTACTGGGTCCTCTCCAGTATCAACAAGTACTCTTAACCACTGAGCCATCTCTCCAGCCCCACAAAAACACTCATACACGTAACATTCAAATTCAGCCAAGCCCTATAACCTTAAAAGGCTGTTTTGGACACGGTATCAACATTTGGCTTTATTCTGTGCGGTGGTTTAAGTGAGACTGGCCTCCATAGGCTCATACATTTGAATGCTTGCTTCCGAGTTGGCAGTACTATTTTGGAAGGATTAGGAGGTGTGGCCTTGTTGGAGGAGGTGTGATGCTGGGAGTGAGCATGGAGATTCAAAAGCCTAAGGCATTCCCAGTTTGTGCTTTTGTTCTCCTTCCCTCCCTCTCTCCCTCTCTTCCTCCCTCCCTCCATTCCTCCCCCCCCCCCCCGCTTGTTTGTGGATCAGATGTATGCTCTCAGCTACTGCTCCCCCAATATGTCTGAGACTCCCCTGATGGTCATGGCTCACCCTCTGAAGCTATAAGGAAGCCCCTAATTAAGTGCTTTCTTTTATAAATTGCCTTGGTCACAGTAGTTTTGTCATTGCAATATAAAGAAACAAAGACACGTTAATAGTGGGTTTTTTTCTTTTTTTCTTGTTGAACAAAATAAAATGTAGTAAGATAAAACAAAAACTACCACATCAAGGCTGAGCAAGGCAACCCAATAGAAAGAAAAGAGCCCCAAGTACAGGCACAAGAATCTGGCACTTGTTCACATACTCAGAAGTACCATAAAAATACAAATCTGAAAACTATAATATATTCACAGAAGATTTGCTGCAGACTCATCTGTGCTTGCTGTAGTAGTCTCTGTGAGTTCTTATGAATCTTGCTCAGTTGATTCAGAGGGCCTGTTCTCCTGGTGTCCTCCATCACTCCTATCTCTTATATTCTTTGTGTCTCCTCTTCCAAAGGAAGAGGAGTAAAGGTGCTTTTAATTTAACTTTAAATTTAAATGTTTATACAAGCTGTGTGATCAGTATCACTTTATGCTGTCTGTGACAGCTAACAACAGTCAGGTCTAAGCTTATCCGTATCGTCAGTGAGATGGTGCATGGTGGGATAGGGGACTCTCCTCAGGGCTGCTAAGCTGGTCTTGTTTAGGAAAAGTTAGACATAAATCAAAAATGTATCAGCAGATCATTTTCATATTCAAATTATTTAAAAAGTCAAACATGAGTCTATATACACATATGAAATATATACATTCATGAACTATTTTAAATTTTAATGTTACCAGAAGCTAACTTAAACATTAGTTATTCCAGACAAAATACTCACTGCAGTGTACTCACTACATCATATACTGTCCCAGAGATATAACATAAATACACGCCTTAGTCCAATGATTCAAAACCTAGGCGATAGTTCAGAAATAGTTAAGAAAATTCTGAAAAAACACATAAGCTTAGGCCCAGTCTCCCTGAAGAGTCAGGCTGAGTAGGTCTAACCTCTGTTTTTATTAACATTACATTTGTAGCTGTGCTATGTCTCCTAGGCAACACAATCTTTTATACATATTTTTAAAATCAAGTTAATGTGAACCTGTACTTCATTTACTTAAACCCCTCCTTTTGCTAATAGTACATAAGAGGTTATACAAGGACATATAAAATACACAAGAAAATAGCAGAAATTAAAAGACAGGGAAATAAACGAGTATGCTTTGTCTCCTTTCAACACTGCTTATGGCCTGGCTGGCAGTCTGCTAGCTGAAAGGGTAGAATGCTTGCCCCAGAAGCAGAAAGCGCACATGCATGATGCCAGCACTGCCTGGGCTATAAGGTCCTGCCTTGAGAATGGAAAACAACTAAACAAACAACAGAAGAGCACTCCTACTGGCTTCGGAGAGGTAGTAGCTGAAAGGAAGCAGCCTAGCACCATGTTTGCAAAAGCAATGAAGAGATGCCAATTTTCAAAATCCCAGGCCCACACTGAAAATTGGTAACACACTGGCACAACTCAGCTCTAATCTTGTTTTTGTCCCCTAAAATGAGACAAGTAATGTCACGCCACTGGCATGAGAAGATCAGGGACCCAAGAAGTTCAAGCTAGCTAGAAACTCCTGATACTGTTTTTCTTGGGGGCTTTATTATTATTTGGTTTTTCATTAGAGTTAATTCTTCATTCTCAACAACACACATCTTGAATCAGAACGCTATTCATGATATTAAAACATTCCAAGAACCCTGTGCATGATATTAAAATCTCCCATACAGTCTGCATCCAAAGGTGCTTTACTATCAAGTTGTTCACACACTGTTCACAGTGCCGCCTCACAAATGCAAGGGAACATCCACCGAGAGATGAAAGAGGGGCAGCACAACAGACTATCCATTTCCAACCTGGCAGCTGGTGGGTCCCTTACAGTGGGTGGAGCAAAATGGAGTAATTGTTTCCTGCTACACAGCAAAATGAGTTGTCACAAATCAATATTATGACCAGAAGGACAACCTTCCTTTATTTAGTCTTCAGAACAGAGAATGAATGGTATTTTACAGAATACCTCAGTTCATTTGATCATCTCAACTTCCTGGGTACCTTCATGAGTCATTCACTTCTAGCTTATTGTTCATTAATTTAAAATGAAAACTCCATAGAAGAACTCCATATTCCCTTTAATATGTACTGCTGACTTTCATAAGTAAGTCCCTGCATTAAAAGACAAAAGTATAGCTGTTCAAGGAAATAGTTGGCCCCATTTCCCCCATAATAGTTAATATAAGAAGTTACATTCGTGTGTGTGTGTGTGTGTGTGTGTGTGTGTGTGTGTGTGTGTGTGTGTTATTTCCAGGTACATGAAAATTCAAGGGCAGGAAACTAAAC